ACTGCTGGAACGCAGTTAGAAAATCTTCAACACAAAACAAAACGCTTCACTTTGTATGTTTAAAGCTCATTTGACCTGACTTGTACTTCCTTTACTGACCAGTAGGTGGCCAATGCGGTGATGAACACATCATTATTTGGACATCAGTGGGTTTAACAGTACGTTATTAGGATGGGAATATGTGTATTGTTGAAAAGTATTGTACTAAATGTAAATATGATATAAAATGTACTTTTTTTTTCTCTCTCAGAGCACCATGAAAAGAATGAATGCAGCAGTATGCTGGACAACATGTCTTTTTTCCATGGACATGTCAAACTGCCCAGCCTATTGTCCATGAGAGCGCAGAACCTACGGGGCATTTCAGAACATCACCAGTGATGACAGCTGTGATTTAAGAGAATGCCTCCTTTTTCTTTTCCAGTTCCAAGAAGACTACTCACTTTTTTAAAATTCTTATTGGGCTGTCTCTGCTATGTTCCACACCCCTACCCTTTCCCCTTAGCCAGAGGACGCCCCCCCCCGTCCACCCCTGGCCCACACACAACCCTTTTACCATCATTTTAATGTAAAATCTGTATATATATTATATTATTATTATCATTATTGTTGTTATTTTTAATTATTGTTGTTGTTCTGTTGACTTTTAATAGTGAAAAATAAATATTTATTGGTTAAACTTGTTTGGACTGGATGTACAAACCTATTTAACCCTTATTTTATGTTGAAAATAATTACATTGATTATGTTGTGGGTCATTTTGACCCGTTCCGTGGAAATGAATGCAAAACAGTCACAAAAACAGGTTAAACCAATAAACAATGTACTAATATTGAATAAACCTTTAGAAAAGTGACGTACAATACAAATTTAATTCCAACACTTTATTTAATAACTATTTTGTTCGGGTTTTTCCCTCTTTACAAACACATTTGGGAATATTACTGTGTATTTTCTGCAGATAATTCTTACATTTCACACAAGAGGTCATTAATTTACCGTCGTCTTGAAAGGGACAGACTTGGCATCCTGGCTTTGCATTTTCTTTTCACCTGTCCACTGGATATTGGTTGGGGAACCATCACTTTGATCAATGCAAAAACTGAAATGGGTCAAATTGACCCGTAACATAATATAAAGGTAGTTTAATTCAGTGTTTGCAAGATTAATTTCACCAGTTTTACATTAATGTCTATTTTGCCATGATGCAATTACGATAATGCATGTTAATTGCAACATTTTTGTATTTGGGAAATTATTGTAATGGCTACTTTCACGTGAACGAGGTTTAAAAAAAAAAAAAACGTCAGCGAACATAACGTGAATATTTATGCTGTATTTAAAACTTTCTAAAGTATGCCCTTCATATTTTTGCTGGCGGTGGCAGGTCGGTGATATGTTATCTTCCCTGGGGTGACGTAATCAACATGGCTTGCATATGGGCAGAGTTTGGGGATGACGTATTAAAAATGGCCGACTTGGATATGGGCGGAGTTGGATATCCGACCAAGGCTGCAGCGATATGTATTCAGACAATTCTTTCTTTTTTGATATCATTTTAAAAGGCCGAAGAAGATTCAAGAATAATTTTACTGTCTTTCAACTCTTTCTTTGAAAGATGGTGCACTATGCACTATGATTGCACTAACCAGCTGTCAAAAATGAAAATTCTAGTCACGTGACAAATATCGTTGCCTGTATATCTGCCTAATCTCTTTTGTAAGTTCTTAATCACACGTTCAACGCTCTTATTTAAACAAAATGCACTAAAATATTTAGCTAGGTTTCATACAAAGAAGTCCCCTCGTCTACATAGTCACTGATATTTTAAGCAGCACAGAGCTGGTCATTGTCATCAGGCACCTCCCATGAGCCTTAGCGGCTGGCATCAGTGTCGTTAATGTTTGGAGTTGCCATGGCTTTGAGTTGAGTTCCAATTTAACGTTGGAATCATAGACATATTTCTATGGTTGGCACATACAGTGGTGGTTTTGGCTCATATTTACGAATGGTCAAGGAAAAATCCCCTTGACCAAAATGTTTAAAAATCAGTTTACATTGTTTACTCATTTGAGTATATAAATTGGAAATCCATACACGTCTATTCTTTTATAGCTTCGTAATCCAACCAGCGCTCTACCGTTATTGTCTAAAACGTCATCACCAAGCGCCGTGTAGTTCGACATCCTGGTCCTTCTCAGCTTGGCAGCGACCGGTTCCTCTGGAAGCTTCTTTCAGAGAGAAGTGGTGGACTGGAATCAAAGTCCATCTCAAGCCAAACTGCATCATTTTACCACCGGTCTCCATTTATCTCGCTGTTAAGACCCAGTTAAACAATTCGAATCCGATATTAAGTCACGATGCCCGAAGCCATGACTGCACATAAATTTCAAAGTGGAGGCAGAAGCAAAGGTGGGGCGTATGTGGACCGGGACAAGCCTGCCCAAATTCGCTTCAGTAACATCTCTGCAGCCAAAGGTAGGCTAACATTATAACAAGCTTTTATAAACGTGGAACCTTTTGAGGTTCAGCTCATTTTTAGTACTTATATTTCTTTGTTAAGATGAATTTCAAATTATGTCCGACAGGGGGTGGGAGGGGGGTCCTTACATCTTAAAGCACACTGTGCCGGTGCAAAAAACTCCATTGCAAAGACTTAATCGAACATTTTTTTCCAATGTGCATATTTGTGTCTATAAACATCGTCGTGCTGATAGAAGCCGTAGTGCTATAATAAGTCATGATTTATCGGGACATTTTTTAAATACATTTTATTGCTACCGTTATACGTCATTGATAACTTGGCAACTAGTTCCCCTTTATGGTGATGGTGGTCTCGTTTGTCGTATACACTGTACTCATCCTACAATTAATGTGCATTTGCTGAGTACTATTGAACATTGTCGCCATTTATTATCCGAAACCTCAGTAAGATACAAATGTTAAAGTTAATTTTGGGCTCTTGTGCTTTTAAAATGTAACTTGATTCTCAAAGTAAGAGGTGTTATTGTTGAGTTGACCAGTGTCCTGCTTTGACAGCTGTTGCTGATGCAATCAGAACCAGCTTGGGACCAAAAGGAATGGACAAGATGGTCAGTAAACTAAATCAATTTTACCTTTCGCTTCAATAAATTATTTATATTCAAGCAAAGGGGTTGATTTATTGTTTATTTTGTTTCAGATTCAGGATGAGAAAGGTGATGTGACCATTACTAATGACGGAGCCACCATCCTGAAACAGATGCAGGTCCTCCACCCAGCAGCCAAAATGGTGTGTAAGAAATACTGTCTGGGTGTGTGTGTGTTTGTAGGCTGGATAAAGAGGGAGTTATATTCCAGCTTGGACAATCCACTCGATCTGTTTTTTTTTTTTTTTTTTGCATTTCCATTCGGGGATTTTGCATCCTACTAGTCCCTCATGTGAACCCCGCCTATTTTAGAAATGTGTCGACAACAAACATCCAATCATTATTTCTGTTATCATAAATGTTGTAAATGCATAATACAAGACCAAGACCATTGTTCAGCCGGTGTATCAGTGCTGCGACATCCTGCCGTGTTGTCTCCTACATGTGTCACATAGAAATTACATCACTGACCGGTTGGTCAGACTTTCTGTTTGGACCTCATTTGTTATGGAAATCCAACCACACCGAATTATAGCGATGCTAGTAGACTCAAGTCAGGCTGAGCAGGTACTAATGGGAAATCCTCATTAGAAAGAGCCCTACAGAGACGATCAGATAATCTAAACTAGAGGTTTCAAGCTGTTAAGTAAAAAAACCCCTATGCACTCCTGATTTGATTCAGGATCAAGAGGTTCCAACCTCTGAAATCTTTGCTTGATTATTTGTATCTAACAAATGATCCCTTGTTCACTTGAACCTCCATTTTTGTCAAGAAATTGTTGTCTTTTTAGAGAGGGATATATAGTTTCTTGGTTCTTTACAGAGTCATTAAAAAAATAAGGGGGAAAAAACTGACCATGCGTCTTCCTGAGACTGCTGGCCTCAGTTTGTGGTTCCTAAGTTGTTTTATATACTGTAGGAAGACTTTAGAGGAGTAACTGGATGCTGAAGTTATTCAGAGCTACATTCAACAGAATGTCAGTCTTGGGTTTTAATTATTTAAAAAAGATTGTTTTATTTCCCCCCATTTTTTCATTTGATCTATCTTTAGATGTTCCCGCATTCTCTGATAATTATTCTCCAGAACAAACATTGTACCTCCTTTGTCGGCGGGGCAAAAAGTTCCCCTCCACCTCCTTTAATGCACCTAACTCCCCATGACTCGATTATTGAGCATTTAACACCCTTATCGTTTTGTATCTTTCTACTAATAATTTTCTTTACCATGGCAGTTTTGATTGGGTTGATTTGACTGTGTTTTTTTGTTTTGTGTTTTCAGCTGGTTGAATTATCCAAAGCCCAGGACATTGAGGCTGGAGACGGCACCACCTCTGTCGTTGTCATCGCTGGCGCTCTCCTGGACGCCTGCTCCAAACTACTTCAGAAAGGTAACAAACCAGAACGTTGATAAATTGATGATATGACATTAGCTGGGGGTCAGTGGGAGTAGATCCTCATCTGCGTTGACTTACTGGCATAAAAGCACTTGAGGCAATGCATGTCTTCTAAAGTAAAATCACATTTTCGGGCTGCTTTGTGCAGTGGGACTGACCTGTGGCCCGCGCCTTAAGGTAAATGATTAATTTTTCTGTCCACGTCAATCAGGTATCCACCCAACCATCATCTCGGAATCCTTCCAAAAGGCTGTGGACAAGAGCATGGAGGTGCTGACGGGCATGAGCCGGCCGGTCGAGTTGAGCGATCGCGAGATGCTACTCAACAACGCCACCACGTCACTCTGCTCCAAAGTGGTGTCGCAGTACTCCAGCCTGTTGGCGCCCATGAGTGTGGACGCCGTGATGAGAGTCATCGACCCGGCCACGGCCACCGGCGTCGACCTGCAGAACATCAAAATCATCAGGAAGCTCGGGTGAGTTTCTCAGCGGGTTGTTGCTTCCCTCTCGGGTACTTGCAGGTTTTCCTAGCTCATCCTCGCACCTCCGTGTTTTCCCGTGTGTGTGTGCAGAGGCACCATTGATGACTGCGAGCTGGTGGACGGCCTGGTGCTGACTCAGAGGGTGGCCAGCACCGGTGTGACCAGGGTGGAGAAGGCCAAAATTGGTCTCATCCAATTCTGTCTCTCACCTCCCAAAACTGACGTGAGTCCCTTCTCGGTTATGAACACAAGTCAAACAGTTCTCTGTTTATGTGCCTCCGCTGTTAATATTTCAGAAGTGTTGTCTGAAGCTTTTAAGAAAGCTGATCAGGTTAAAAAAAAAAAAGCATTTTGTATTGTCGGATTAATGTTTTTGAGGTTTTCCTGGATTTTTTTTTAACTTTTTAAAGGTTGAAACTACAATGGATAAAATCAGATTCTTGGTACATTAGATTAAAAGAACATTTCCAGTTTTTAAGTAATCAGATAGAATCATTAAGTCATTTGGAACACATGAGTATAAATGACCTGTACTTCTTTTAAATAAATAATTTTGTTTGGTTGTTCTGTTGTGGTGGTGGCGTGCGTGCAGATGGACAACCAGATCGTGGTGTCAGACTATGCGCAGATGGACCGCGTTCTGCGGGAGGAGCGCGCCTACATCCTCAACATGGTGAAGCAGATAAAGAAAGCCGGCTGCAACGTTCTCCTCATCCAGAAGTCTATTCTCAGGTACAAAACAATAAAGGTGACATGTCTTTTTTTTTCTTTTTTGTTGCTTCCAATGCATGAGGACACAGTCATGCTTTCAAGAAAAATTGGTTTTAATAAGGAAACTGACCTAACAAACAACGAGGACTTAAATACTGGCTGATCAGACCAGACTGACACACTGAGGACAAGGGAAGGGGAACATAACCGCAAACTTAAAAAATATAATAAATACAGTTTAAGAATTTACTTAAATGACCCATTATTAAACCAAATGAACAAAATTAAGCAAATCACAAAAGCAAAGAGAAGTTGTGGGAGAATTAGAATAAGGACTCCATGGTCCTCCCCCATAGTACATCTCCAGATGGTATCACCCAGTCGGTCAGTCAATGTGGGACTGGGGTGGACCAGCCAGAGTCCATTGCTTCACCCCAGTTTACTCCCAAAAAATAAATTGAAGCCAGATGAAAACCCAAAGTGAAAAAGTGCGTATGAAAACCCAAACGTTAAACATGTTCCTTCAATTCTGTAAAATTCTGATAGAGATGCCCTCAGCGACCTCGCTCTGCACTTCCTCAACAAAATGAAGATAATGGTGATTAAGGAGATCGAGAGGGAGGACATCGAGTTCATCTGCAAGGTGGGCTCCGCAAAACGCGCCGTGAAAAAATAATAAAAAGGGCGCCGCCCGGTCAAAAGGTCGGTAAAGTCACCCCCCCGCCCCCTCTTTGTTCCGCCACAGACGATCGGCACCAAGCCCATCGCCCACATCGACCACTTCACTCCCGAGATGCTCGGCTCTGCCGACCTGGCTGAGGAGGTCAGCCTGGACGGCTCCGGAAAGCTGGTCAAGGTACGCCGGACGACTGATAGCCGATACGAAAGTAGATCGGTTCAGTTTTTTTTCTTCCACGTATCAGCAGACAGAATTAATGTAAAAGCAGGTGGTGAAGAGATGGCGAATGCTGTCTGATTTGGGGGTAAAATGCCACAAGGAGCACCCAGAAAGCCTTCCCCAATCTGACCAATGACATCTAGCAGCTTCACGGCCATTTTGAATCCTCTCCACTAGTCATTATTACACACCAGCTCAAAACGATGTGGAATTCCATTTCTCTGTTACGCTGCCTCAGACTAAATGGGCTAAACTCCAGGTAAGGCTAAGCTGTAAGCGAACCCTGCTGCCGTTTTTTTGTGGGGAAATGGGAATGGATTAAGATGGCAAGTGTCAGGCTTTTTTTTTTTTTCTTTTTTTTTTTTCCCTGTGGAATTACAGCAGCCCTGTGCTGGATCGCTCTCTTTGTTCAATAGCCTTGAACTTGGTATAAAATCCCCTAATGGCAGGCTCTTCATGGGTTTTAAGACACGGTCAGGACCTGATCATGAGTTTTTTTTGTTGTTTTCCGTGAAACGCTTTGCTCCTAAAAAAACAAGACACAGCGAGACTTCCTTGTAATTCTTGCAGTGACACTGTCTCTCTCTCTCTCCCCGATTGTTCCAGATCACGGGTTGCGCCAGTCCCGGGAAGACGGTGAGCATCGTGGTCAGGGGCTCCAACAAGCTGGTGATGGAGGAGGCGGAGCGCTCCATCCACGACGCCCTGTGCGTCATCCGCTGCCTCGTCAAAAAGAGGTCGGTCGTCCTCCCGGCATTTGTCTTCTCTGTTGTCCGACAGCCCCTTTGTCTCGTTCTGCTTTAAAAAAAAAAAAAACGGGAAAAAAAAATACGGGAAAATCCTAACGTGAGAAGCTATTTGCCTTTAAGATCTTAAAGATATGCTGGGTTTGATCATCGGACTTCTGCAAGCGAAAGGCAGATTGTGTCTGATTTAACAGGATGAGATTTAGACTAGTGAAACCTAGATAATTAGCTTTGAGCAGAACTCCGGTTGCAGCGTTTTGGATCATATGGAGGAATTTTAAACAGTGTTGAGATAGAATGAAGAATAAACAAAGAGCGAGAACGTTGGTCATTTTGGACAAGGTGGAAAAAGGGTCAATCCTGTTGGACCAGGAGAAAAGGAAGTGCCATGTAGATCAACTAAATAGGTTGAAACTTTCCACCTTCTTCACGTTCACCTCTTTTTTTTTTAACATAATTTTTATTTCAACTTGTACACGGACAAGTCCACATTTAGTCTGCTGCACTTACAATATACTTAAAGCAGGTTACATGATTAAACAGGATACAAAGTGGTAAATTAATAAGCAAGTCAAATGATTAGAAATGAGTGAAATAAAGATATTAGAATAAAATAATAAAAATAATATAGAATATATTAGAAAAAAATTGAGATAATAATAATAAAAAAAAAGAAATCAATATAAGCAAAAGTCAAAATAATGAAAATTCATCTCTTGACAAATATGTCTTTTTGAAGCCTCAGGCAATAAGTTTCCCAGACCTTTTCAATCCACATATTGTACGTTGGACCATTCAACTGTGATACATTTAAGAGGCGCAATCGGCAATATTTGCGTCCACCTCCTTTTGAGCTCGGGTAAAAGGATTGCACTGACGAACCTGTGGGTTGTTTTCCTGTTTTTCCTCTCAGGGCTCTTATTGCCGGAGGCGGTGCCCCAGAGATTGAGCTGGCCGTGCGCCTGGCCGAGTACTCGCGCACCCTGGCCGGCATGGAGGCCTACTGCGTGCGGGCCTACGCCGACGCCCTGGAGGTGATTCCGTCGACGCTGGCCGAGAACGCCGGCCTCAACCCCATTTCCACGGTGACCGAGCTGCGCAACAGGCACGCCCAGGGAGACGCCATGGCCGGCATCAACGTCCGCAAGGTCCGTCCGCTTGGCTTGCTTTAGTTTTTGTTAGGGAGGCCCCGATCCAGCATGTGTTAAAGTTAAAGTTATTTAGCCTACTTCCGTTTTCAGGCTCTTGTTGAACAGGGATTTACTCTTCTAACAACTTAATGGTTAGGACACAGACCTGTGGGTTAGGAGATGCTAATGCTTGTGTGGGATCGGACTTTAAAAAAAAAAAAATTTCTTTTAATTCTTTTTTTTTTTTTTTTTTTTGTGCAAATATCAGCGGCCGATTGGACAAGCCTAGTTTTTATTGCAATGTAATGACATGGCTTTCAAAACTGAACTGTTTTTTATTTGAAATCGTGACTTTTGCGCCCGGCAGGGAGGAATCTCCAACATCCTGGAGGAGCTGGTGGTGCAGCCTCTGCTGGTCTCCACCAGTGCGCTGACACTGGCCACAGAGACGGTTCGCAGCATTCTCAAGATTGACGACGTGGTAAGTTAACACTAGCACACGTACATTCTTGTTTTTGGCCTTTTAAAAAAACTGATTCTTCAGATTGATTTTTTTAAAATTCTTTTTTCTTTTATAGGTGAACACACGATAAGTTGATCTGCCTTGGCTGGCCATTAAACCTGCTTGTTCTGCTAGGGATCGGATGAAGTGGACGTCGGTCTGTTCAGATTTCCTGTGTAGTAGTTGCCATGTCTAAGTTAATAAAACTAAGCCGTTACTTTTTTTGGCACTCCAAAGTACTTTGTGTTTTCTTTTTCTATCTTTCGCACATAGACAGTTGGTCTCCTCTGTCTCCTGTGGGATTATTTGAACTAAAACCTAAACTGACATCATTCCTATGATGATGTTAGTTTATGTTTTCATCTTTGCTGATCAGTAAAACTAATGGGAGGAGAGACTAGTGACATGAAAACTCCTGCTTGTTCTTTCCAAGCCTAAAGGGGGGGCAGGAACCACAAATAGGGTACCGGAACTCCATTTGGTGCATAGATATAACATGCCAAGGTGTACAAAAAAAAATCTCCCTGAGGCTCAACACTAAATCAATCAGGAAGTCGGACATTTTGAATTGAAGTCTAGTTTTAGGGGAACCTTATCCTGGCTCTCCGCAGTTTTGACACCTATAATCAGGAAATGGATATTGGATGACAGTCAACTCCTGAATGTGTGTACAAATATTCTAGATAAAAAATATTTAATTAATATATATATATATATATATTAATATTAATATTAATATACAATAAGCCACACATTTAAATGCCATCTGCACTATCCCTCATTTTAAAAAAAAAATCATGTTTATACACCATACATGTTTTATTTTACGGCCTCATAACGAGGGCTCCCGGTTTGAATCCTTTGAGGGACTGGTTGCCTTTCCTGTGTGGAGTTTGCATGTGCATTACTTAAAAAAAAAAACTAAAAAAAGGTTTTTCAAGCTGAGGAAGCCGGCAGCTTTCAGATGAAACATGTCTACCCAGCCTGAAATCTACCTCTGACAGGCTTTGCGTGTCCTGTTCAGCTGCTGTATTTCCTATTCATTCACATTCCTGAGGTTTTCCAATGGAAAGGAGTTTATTTTACACGTTTGAATACATCGAACGCAGCATGAATTCTGAAATCCATTTAATCTGTGATTTACGATCTTGACAATTGATCAATATCACTTGTGGCGAGAGAACAGCATAACCACTTTGACGTATTTGAACACGAACATTATTGTCTGTGGTGGTTGCCGGCAGCAGTTTTATTTTGTCCGTGTTGATCGCAGAACAGCTGGATCTCTGCTGCGTTTCCATCTCCAGAGTCTCTCCCGATCGGACCGGCGAAAGCTGGAACGCCGGCTTTCCCAGGGTGTTCGGAGTCAGCCGCTACAGCTTCAGGCCTTGGACGTTTGTCTTCAGATTGATCATTTGCTTTTCCTGCCGCACCTTTTCCTCGCTGAATGCCACCTTGGTGGCCTTCTTTTCAGCTCTCCTCACCTGAACAAACAAAGAAAACGAGTAGTTAAGACATGACACTGCATATATTTTAACGCTGCTTCTTTTGCCGTCTTCAGACCATCTCCAACTGCTCTACAATTTGTGACTACTCTTAGAATTAAACAGAAAGACTGCATCCTAAATGAGAATTCGATGCTTTTTTTTTAAACAAAAAAAAAAAAACAGAAGATAAGAAAAGGAACATGGCAATAAAAGTCACAACCCCTAATTCAGAGTCTTCCTTGAGTTAGTTGCAGCTAAAAACCTAAACGACACAAGGTTGACCTGAAAACTGACCGGTGAAGTCCCTTTGCTTATCTTCATCTTAGCTACAATTGAAATAAATGTTTTTTTTTTTAAATAATGTTTCTAAGGCTTTTGTTTTACGACATTGCTATAAATCTTTCTAGTTAAGTTTTTAAACATTCAAAAACATTAAAACCACGTTCAAATTCAATTGAATTAAGAGAGAATGGTATTCACAGAGCAGTGGGCGTCCTACAAACAATTCCTAAAAAGCAGAAGCTGAACATCTTGTTTTAGTTTAGAAAAAGACATTTGGGGCATGGAGCTTGCTCCCCTCACCTTGCGCTCGTCTTTGATGGCCGTTTTCCTTGCTCTTTTCTCTTCTTTGCTCTCATTTTTGTCCCTGGGTTGAGCGGAAACGCGCGGTAGCTCCGGGTCATCGGTCTTGGTCTTGGGGTCTGCCGGCTTGCTTGCGGAGCCTCGGGGGGGAAGGACATCCAGAGGAATGCCTGTCTTTTTTGAAACACGGATAGCCTTCGGCTGAGGACAAAAAATAAGCCATTAGGATGCCCGGATGTAGCTACATGTCAGTTGGCAAAATACTGATTCTGAAACATATATGCATCTACACACATACTGTAAGTATAAATACACATGTGAATATCTTGTTGCTATGACATACCCATTATCATGACCAAGACAATTACTGATACTTACTTTAGTTATTATAAGGCAGTACTTTTTTTTAACATACTCGACAGCAAAGTAGGCAACAAAAAAAAATCTCATTGCAAATAATGTGGAATAAACAAAGTTTGTTGAGCTAGAATAGCATTAAAGGTGAAAAATATGGAACGCTGCAGTTCAAGTATCCAAACTCATCTAAATAAAATTCCACCATAACTTAACCTACTATTGTTTTTATTATATCAATACTTTACATAGTAAATCATAAACAAAAAATAAACTCTTTTTTAAAAGAAAGCTATAAAGAACTTTTTTTCTTCTTTTAAACTTACCTTCTGGGGTTCTTGAATTACTTTGGGTCTGTTATATATGTTGGAATATGTACCTAGAGAAGAAATAAAAGATGTAGTCAAAAAAAAGTTTTTTCAGGAAAAGAAAATTAACAATATGTGTAGAATTGAAACAATAGTATCAGAGATCAGACTCTGACACCTTAAAGTGACAGTAAAAAAAGAAATGGATACTGACTGATGATGGTCTCGCAGTCCCACTTCTCTTGCGGGGTCTCGATGACAAGGCTCTCCAACTCCTCTTCCTCGTCTTCCTCCTCGTTCACCACCGCCAGCTCTTTGCATCTCCCCTCATCAGGCCTGAGGGAGCAGAATCACAACCGGCATGAACCTCAAACGTCTCATTTCTAATCCCGTTAGAAGCAAAAAAAAAAAAAAAAAAAAATACCACACAAATCTGCTGGGGCATTACTGACCCATTCTGATCAAAAAAAGAAAAAAAAAACTCACTCTTTCGTTTTCTGTTTAAAATAGTCCTTGATGACTTCTTCCAGGCGAGCGCTGTCCGGCTTGATGAAGCCTTCCAGTTCTGCGTTGTCCAGGGCGCCGATCTCATCGTCATCAAACTGCTCGTAAAACTGGAAAAAAAAGACACATGACGACAATGTTGCAGATTCTAATAACAATAAATCTCTTTGAATTTATTCTTTAATAAATTTGATGTAGATGTTTTATCTAAATCTTCGTACTTTTACATTTTAAGATGAGTTCACAGTTTTGACATACAAGAATTTTGTATAAATGAACAACAATAATCTGCAGACATCAGATTCTGATTCAGTATTTTGAAGAGAATCCAATTAGAAAAACAAAAATTCTGATTAAGGTAAATTTAGCAGCAGGCATTAACAAATAAATTGAATGTCAGTGTTGTCACATAAGAATGCAGGGCAAAATAAACCTCTGTCTACTGTGAAATGAAGGTGCGTGACTTCGTCAAGTCCAGGTTTAAATGTGTCCGGACGCAATGATGTGGACAACCTGACGTCTTTTGATGAAAAGTGCTCCCAGAATTACAATAACGTCTTTCGATCTCTGTCACATTTAATATAAAAAACATGCTGAACTATTAGGCTCCTATTCTGAAAACACAGTGACATAGACTGGTAATAACACGGAAGGATTCAATATCAGCCATGAATGATAATCTCTGTCAATTTAAAAACACTCCCATGTAAAAACCTGAGTAAGGGAAGAGACACACATAGAGGAACTTTTAGCTAAGAAATCAGTGGAAAATCTTTAGCTTCTTGAACAAAAAAAGCCTTGGGCAGTTCAGATTCAGGAACTTCTCAGTCAAAATGCACCTTTATAATATGCTTATAGAGTCGTAGAAACGTCTTAGGTGTGAAAACACTCACTGGATCACCCACTAAACTGTTGTATCTCTTGGTTTTGAAATAATAATATGGGGCTTACCGTCTGTGAAGGTAGACTTTTTCAGACAGTCTGTATTTTAACAACATAGGAACAGTATTCGTGAGTTAGGAAAAAGGTAAACCTTTTCAAAGCAGCTGTCGAGCAGGGAGAGCTGCTCGTTCCTCCTCATCACCGATGACGTCATGGAGTACTCCGTGAAGCGGCTCTTTGTCTCCTCGTCCATAAAGAGAAACTCTCGCCCGCCGCCTTCCCCCCGCATGTCGGGTGAGAAGCCGTCCCCGGAGCTGAAGCTGCCCTCCTCGTCTGTGTCCTCCCATTCCTCGTCCTCTTCGCCGTCCTCGCAGTCGTCTCTATCAAAAGTTGTGCACAAAAAAGAAATGAGTTCAATGGAAACGCCACAGCAGAATGCTATAATTTGTCGACTTGACTTCAGCTACAAATCATGGAGGAATTAAACGCAAGCCTTGCAAGTGAATCATCAAAAAAAACCAAAAAATATGTAAATATGTTAAATAAATTATAATCACAGCTGAACGTATACCTTTACCATCTGTAAAAATACACGACTCTTCAAAACAAATAATAATAAATAAATAAATAAAAAGCAGGCCACAGTAATATAAATTCATTTTACATGGCTGAATGTGTTTTGGAGACAAAAAAAAAACTCTACACCCCCCCTAAAAAAAATTCAAATAAATATAAATATACATTTTTAAAAAATAAAGAAGAGGGAGGGAGAGAAAAAAGGTTCCTGGAAAGCATCAATGATGGTGGTATTTTTTGGAGGAAAAAAGGCACAAACACAGTTTCCTCATACTAAAGGAAACTGAACACGTAGTATAATTTTGATCATGTTTGTTCTCTATGAACTGAGAGCGCAACACTAACTATCAAAAATCCTGAGAGTTAAGGATTTCTTTTTGGCTCCTCATCCTTCAACTGACTATTTTGCTTTCAAGCAAAATATATCCTGCCAAGATAAAGTCTATATTCACTACTTACCTGAATGATCTTTAAACACGGTAGCCTTCACTACACCACAAGTCTTTGCATAAACTTCTCAAGACAATAGTTCTACTTAGCATATTATAAGGAAAATACATTTCATGAATCAAAGTAATTTCTCAATGCCATCCTCAGCCTGGTGGTAGCCTCTCAATTACACTCTTTAACCAACAAGTTCCTATTATTAACTACACTAAACTAATAGCCAAGGAAAAACATATAAATAGATTAATTGGGTATAAACTTATTCTAGCTCCTATTGGCTCTAAAAAGATTGTGATCCAAGACTTTGGGAGTGTTTTCTGGAAACTATGGATGGTCCAGTGAAACCTTTAATCTCCTCGCTTTAAAAAAAAACACAAATGTGAAAACACAAATTGTGTCTTTACTTTCAAGCATTCTGTGTCTTGTTGGTGCGATTAAGATTGAAAAGGGTTGTAAAAAAGGGTCTTGCTTGCTGAAATCCCAGAGTTTGTAGAAAACACGACCACATGAACCACTGTGCAAGTTCAGGAAGGTCCGGTGTCTTACGCCGTGCCCAAAGCTCCCCCCACGGAGTTGGCTTTGCTCATGAAGTCGTCGTCCAGGATGTTGTTGGGATCGTCGTAGTCAAAGTCTTCATCCAGAGCGGCGACGATGTCGGGGTCCATGTCCAGCCGGGGTCCTGCGGGAAACCAGGCGAAAAGAACGTGACGCGTCAGTGGGAAATGACCTCATCGACTAATGACCTAATCAATAAACCTAGTCGACTAAACGTATCTACACAATAAACTGTTGATTTGATGCGACTTACCAGAAATGGGAGCTGCCTTGTTCAGGAGTCCCTCCTCTTCCTCGAACTCGGAGGCGAACACGGACGAGGGCAGGTGGATCCCAGCGGCCTGCTCGTCCAAACAAAGAGAGGCGTCAGACCCGGGCCACCGTGGGCACGCAGACACTCAGAGGCGGCTCACTTTTTGTTCATTTGGTTAACCACTGTCAAAAAGACCCCATCTAAGAAATAAACTGTTTAAATTATATTGTTTAAACTATCAATCTCGTCATGCTAAGTGCACAGTGTATCTAAAATACAGTATCTGTATGTTGGTTGACAGGCTATATGCCACAGAGTTTTAAGGTTATCTAACATAATATATGATTTATTACATAGTTATAGACTTCTGCAACTTTTTTAAACATTGGAACTAGAGATAAAGCCCTGCTAAATATTCCCAGATAGGTTTTAGTAAAAGTGACATTTTGCTTTGTCTGTGATAGTTTGCTTTTGTCACATACACAAACTCTGTGATTTTTTCTTTAAAAAACCCTCTTTTTGTAAGCTTCTTCCAATGTTTGATACAATTATAAAACATTATTGGGTTGTCTATGTCTGAAGCTCCTAAATCTACTTTAAAAAGCAATTATAAATTAATTTCTTCAGTTCCCTGCCTGCAATCTGTCTGTTTACAAAGTGCGTACACAGCTCTGTATAACGTCAGCTAAACTGGACAAGGGCACTCACTTGGAGACACGCCCACAATCCAAACCTGCGGTAATTCAGCATCACTGAAAAACTCTGTGGTCAGTTTTTCCAAAAAATACTAGCACAGAGCCAGAAATATCACCTACTGGATGGAAGCAACCTAAGATGAGAAATCATGTTAAGGGATCAAAAATGCTCACAGGGCTGTCCGCGCTCTCGCCTCCTTTTCCCTCGTGTTCGTTGTCTTCATCTTGTAGGTCAAAGGTCACTCTGTTTTGGGACGAGGAGCCAGAAACGACAAGCTCACAGGGGGCGGACGCCTCCTTCAGGTGCTGCAGGTAGTTGTAATCGTCGTCGAAGAAAACCCCAAACTTCCTCTGCTCATCGAGCCTCGCCTCGGCTTCCACCTGGCCATTAGGAACAACAGCATTAGCAAAAAGTTAAGAATAATGAAAAGTCAGATAAAAAAAAAAGCGATAAATGCTTTGCTTTGACGAAATTTTCCGAGGTCTCATCTTATCTGACAAGTAAGAAACAGCCTTAGGCCAAGTGCACAGCCCCACACTTGCATTATATCTTAGTTTTAAGATCTATCAGACATTTGGAATATAAGTGGGATGGTCCTCAGAAGCTGTAGAAGTGATGTACTTTTGTAAGGAAAGTCAGAATGGCTGTTTTCAATGAAATTTTTTTTTTTTTTTTTATTAAATCCTCCAGTTTTGGGGGATATTTTCAGTTGCTGGTGATGATAGACACATTCATATCAAATAGGAACTGGGCGCAAAGATGATGTTTCCACGATAACCCCCCTTTAAAGTGGCGACGGAGTAAATGCGCGGCAGAGAATCTACACCTTTACGGCGGGAAGCAGGACATGCTGCGGTGCTTTCTCATCTGCGGCCAGCGGGTCCTTCTGACTTCTGTGGACGACGTGAAAAGTCACAGCTTTCTTCTTCTCAATGAATGCTTTCTTCTTTCGATGAGGCTGTGAAAGACAAAAAAAACAATCATTCAATCTTTACTCACGTGTATAACACATGTATATAATCACGCATAAAGATGAGGGCAGTCAGGTAGTGTTTAAGTGGGCAGGGTTATGCCGGATAGAGAATAATTAATATGTACTTCATGGTCATAACAACACTGTAAACAAAAAGAAAGGACCATCATGTATGAGCTCTTACACAATTTTAAATGGGAGGAGATTAAAAATATTGGGATGCTGTAAGTTATTAAATAAAAATACATTGCTTCCTGTGACCTATAATGACTTTCATGGTCATGGCTTGATATCCAAATTGGCCCTACTGCCACACACAGACCGCTCATTGGAAACTTAAAAGATCTTTCGGTTAAGCAAGTAATTAGGCATCATCTGACCACAAGCTAAAGGGGCAAACAGGTAAACGTTAATAAATTCATATTAAACATCCTCTTTGACTATTTAAACAAATTCTATAACTATTTATGGCAAGAGTGGTCAACTTATACTGACCATTTGTTTTATAGTCCCTGTGACCAAAACACCTTCTGTCAACGCGAGAATAGCTAAGAATGAGGCGGAGGGATACATGTGACTTCCCCCTGTGACAAAACGTGTGCCTCGTGTATACATTCCAACTAATTCGCAATGTAATTCGCATAGATATAGTCTTCTTCGCTTACTCATGACATTGGTGGTTATTTTATTTTATTTGTTTATGGCAGGTTTGCTTCGTTGGTTACAAAAGGCCCAAAACCATTTGTATGCAATGGTAAACGAGCATGGATAGGCCACTTATGTGTCGAATCCTTCACACGGTAACCCACGTTGCCAACGGTGCTTAGAGGGGTCAGCAAGACGGTGAAGTCAATTTTTAATGGAAAATGTGGTATTGGTTTCGACAGATAACAGCAAATTAACGTAAAAAACAAGTTAATCCACCACACCGATTTACCCCGGTTACTATTAATGATAGTCTATTAATGTCATCTTACCATTTTAGTGGAATTGCTGACGATTTTTCTTCAAAAGGTAGAGTATTTAAGTCCCCAAAATATTATTTATATGTAGCCATCCAAACACATAACCCTTTCCGGAAGTTGCTGCTACAGGATTGGATCGGAGACTGGGCCGAAGCTTTGATGTGATTGGTCATTTGTCTAAATGTAGGTGGGGTTTGTCCCCATGACGGATAGAATTAGTGAGCATGCTTCCCCGTGCAGCACGCTGCCATTGGCTGTCTGCCAACTACCACCACCTTAAATAGAAGACGAAGAAGAAGAGGGGACGTAAAGCTACTATATAAGCTCCCAATTAAAAAATGACGTGAAGGTAATTTCTGGGAGATACTCGTGCTGAAATGATAACATGACTTTTCTGTTTTAGTTCAGACTTTTTCTTCGTTTCCTTTAAGGTTCTTCTTCTTGAGTTTAACGTCGGCTTGCAAAACAACCAACAGCTGCATTATCGCCACCAACTGGTATACACTGTAACTAACATGAAGATGTTTTATGACAGGCATATGTAACACGACTGGTGATATTTCTTCTGCTAAATCAAACACTGATATTTAGACTTGGTTGGACGATGACCTCACAGAACCTGTCCTTACCTGACTTTACCTTTACTTTGTGCAAACCCAAGTATAGTCTGTTGTCTGGGACTGTTTCCCTTGTAGTTGAAACCATGTTGCTTAGGAATGACAATTGTATTGGCAAGTTCTCCCAGTTTTCCTCTGCAATGCTGGAAACAACTCATTTCAATTTATTCGTGACTTGAATTTAGAGGAATTGAGCTAGCGGGCAGCTCAAAATTTGTTTTTTGTACATGTGAGTAAAACACAAGATGCGTTTTTGTGCACACACCTTTGCTTACATGAGGCCCCAGAACTTTAAATCTAAATTCTGAACAGGCTCTATCAATGGAGTAATGCCAGATTACTATTCCTTCACCCTCACAATGCTAATGTCATCCACGATATTTATCTGACATATCAGTCATGTTCCCTGAATTTAGGACAAGGCTGAAAAGACCATTTAAGTAGCTCCAGATTTCTATATGTATGACAAATACTTTCACTGGGCTTCTGCTATTCTACTCTCCAGCTGTTAGAAATGGAAATTCAGAGCCTGATAGGATCTGTTGTTTGTTCCTCTGTGGAACAAGATGAAAAAAGTGCTCTTGGGAATTTTTTTCATGATTGACTTCCCAAATATAACTTTTTTTGTTTTAATAATATGACATAAAACCAAATAGCTTTTTGATTAGATTAGTTTTTTGTAAGTTTGCTAGATTTCCAGTACTGCAGTTAAGTTATTATTAGTATATTGCCCTTGCATAAAGATAATTGCATAGTCGATTTTATTTCAAGCATCTAACTATTGCTGCAGTGATCTACTGGGAGACATTCAAAGAGCCTGCAGAATCCGTTTCTACCTTTGGCTATATGATGACATATATACATATTCAAAGTTCAAAATGATTGTATGCAGGTTTTAATACTTTGGTATCTTTAGTTGATGTCCTAATGAATAAAAACAGGACTGAATTGGATCTGTTTGCATTGCTTAATTGATGACAGTTTAATTTACAAGACCTAGAAGTTGGTATTTAGTCTGCTAAATAAACATAAACTTCAAAGTAAAATGTACTTAATCACTAAAAGTGAAAAATATTTAACTTTAAGCAAAGAGTTAAAATATTTTTATTGTCTTGTTACACAAAAATGGTAGCCTATGCTGTTAAATTAATAGATTATAGCAAAAAGTAAATTATTATGTTTAATCATTTTGCTTCTGTGCTGCTGCACAGCTCAGAAATACAGTCACTAACACAGAAATATTGCGAGTAAACTGATCAAAATCTTCTTGGTTTTACATTCTGCTGTGATCATTCACCCTTACAGAATGGGCATTCAAGAATTTTTCTCGTGTGTTGTCCAGACGACACAGACCATTAAGCTTTCACCAGGCATTGTTTTCTCTCCATGTTCTTATGAGTAACTTTCCCTTGAGATAGGGTCATTATGTTGGACCAAAAAGCACATGAGTGGCAGGAAAATCAATCCAGCCGTCGTAATCCTCAGTTATGTTGCCTCCTTAATAGAACATTTCACAGATATTCTCCATACCAAAGTTTAAAAAGTGCAATTATTTTTATTAAATCAACCAAAGGATACTTTAGTCAAGTTGTTTTGATCACAGCAAGTTTCCTCAAGAAAATATTTCTTCTTCATTTGGAATAAATAAACTGTTCAGAATTATGAGGTGTCACACTAATGTAAAGTGACCCATCCATGTCAAATAAATTATCATTCTTGCATTGACCTTTGTTCCCCACTTTTCTCCTCAATTTACCAGTTTGGTTACAAGTTTATTAAGAGAGCCTTCGGTGGGGATCTCTGCTACAACATCTGTGTGTCACTTACCTGCCATTGCTTCCTTATTCCTCCTCCATTAACCTCCTCTGGTTTAGACAGCATGCCATGACCAACAAGTTTCTATATTCATTGCACCTCTTGACCAATGTAACTCCAAGGAGTTCCCAGACTGGTCACCCCTCTTTTAAATAATATGCCCTTTCATGATGTGACCTTATCAAAACCATGCATTTTAACAAAATCCATCCATTCCAAATGAAACGCCTCGCCGTGAAACGGAAAGGCATTCTATTTAAATTATAAAATCTCCAAGCTCCACAAAATTTGCATGTTTCAAGGATAGACCCTGTTAAAAGTTATTGTAAATGTTTTGGTAATTTCCAATGGATAAATGACATCCTCCACTAAATGAAACCAATGAAGCCCTGTTGCCTACTTAAACCCACAGTTATGAAAATTGGGGCAAAAGTAAAAAGAAAGGCTCTTGGACCCCTATGCTAAATAAAACAGGAAGCCATCCAGAATATATAATTAAAGACAACACTTTACTTAAATTCAATTATGCTTGTTCACCATTCACATCCATAGAAAAATGTGACGCTTTACTGTTACACAGGAAGTCAAAGCTGGCTCACACGTTTATTTTTCTCTAAAATCTTCATTCGTCGTTACAGTCCCATTATGGAGAGATGCCGACTGAGCTGTACAAAGAATACGACTTGACACAAGGAAGCCAGGAAGGTGTTAGGGCAGTTCGTTGCTACTTTCTGTTTGTTAAATGAACATTTTTCAGCTTTGAACGGGCAGACGAGGACATCTCAGACAACTACTGCCGTCACAGTCGGGTTAAACAACATTTCTTCCCATTCTGTCTACACATGGGTTCACAGTGACATATTTACATTTTTTATGTTGCAGATGCAGCCTGCTGTAGAAGCGTGGGGGAACCTGTGTCTTCCTTTGACATTTTTTTGGAGCTGGCGCTGCCTAGAAGGCTTCTTTTGGTGAGATGCAATACAAAAAAAGCGGTCAACCTGAAAAATGGTAGACAAATTCCACGAGTTCGGATCACTGATCAGGTCACAGAATGAATATCGGGGAGGGAATTTGTTGTCGAGGCAGCCCTTAAGTGTAAAGTAAGGATCCGGTGCTTGACGACAGAAGCTGTAATCCTCCACTGTCACTGAGAGGGAACAGCTCAGCATTCCAAATGCTGAACTGGTCGCGGCCGGTTTCCTGAGAAGGCTCGAGGGGCAGAGAGTGAGCGCACAACCAAGCAGGTGTTGGTTCACCCACAAGCATACAAATGACATTATTACACACACTGCCAGGCCTTTGCCTGTTGTATAGCCCATGATTAAAGCACGGCAAACTTCAGATCTTGACCGGCTGCCTTTTAAAGCCTCTGATTGATCCCCCCCCACCCCCACCATAGTCACTATCATCTAACATTAGTAGTCTGCCTGTTAGAAAAACCACAACGGACATCTTGAACAAACTTTTCATAAACATAAGACTTAAAAAAACACTTAGAAAATATGCTGTGTGCTCTAAATTTTTTATCCCAAAATATGTTATCACCGCTCTCTAATAGAGCAGAACTATAAAATTCTGTTCCAGTTCTTTTAGAAACAACCATTTCAATCATGCCCCATTTCAGAGTTAGAAAGAAAATGAATTGCTGCTTAATTTACCCAAACATTGCGTACTTCCAATAGGATAAGCCTTAAGTTGCAATAAAAAAGAAAATCAATTTCCTATAAAAGATCCCAATCTGTGTGTCCGAATCATTTCATACCTCACTGTCAACATTAGAGTGCAATTCATCAAGTGGCAAATCTCATGTTAAACATAATGACACAACCTCTGAACATTTCTTTGACACTTTCCTCTCCAATGCAATTTTCCACATTTTTGTTCTGTGATTTTTTGTTGTCACACGTCTATAGCAAAAGCATATTGTAACAATCCACATAGCGGTGATATTGTTTTCTTTTTTTACATCAGTCTCCTGCTTCTTGCTGTCCACTATCGGCCTCGCGGTCGCTGTTATTGCTGTCATCCGAGTAATTGTCATGATCGCTGGAGTTGTAGCTATCGTCCGAGTAGTGGTAATCCTGCTCCCGGTAATGACCGTCGGAATCTTCGCCCTCTTGGAAGTGAGAAGACGTTTCACTATTCTCGCCTTTCCCCTCACTCTCCGCCTGATCGTGGCCGTCTTCGCCGTCCAAGAAGACTTTTTTGTAGAGAACGAGTTCGTAGTCCGCGTCTGCCTCTCCCGGGTCACTGATCCACATAAAGAGAATCAGAATCAGAATCAGAATAAGGTCTCAGATTACAGAAGCATTACACATCAGAAAATAGTTTTTTTAGCCAACATACACTGCATCTGACTTTGATTTGAAGGATTTCTGACTCTATTTACAACTCATTTTTGACTCGGGCAAAGATTCTAGGGATTTTTCTAGGCAGAAGCGAGCTCAGTTGTTCAGGTTCACGCAACTGAGGCACAACATTGATATAATACAGCCAGTGTTTTCACAACCCATTTAATTTTCCATTGTCGTCACGTTTAAACCATTCCGGAAAGCATCTTTTCAGTGACATGTCATACACTAACTTCACGCTTAGCAAGAATGTCAGCCTGTGTACTTTTCCTACTCAAACAGCTGACCGTCCAGACTGACCGATCTCGTTACTCCTCATGGATAATGAACCTTTTCTGATAGATGGCACCGAAAAAAAAAAAGAATATTTACCCGTCCTTGTTTTCACTCGGAGGGGAGGCCGAGATTCTTGCGTCGGATTTTTCCGCCTTGTTGCTGATAAACTCCTCAGTCACGTCCAGCCTGTGCAGGGTATCGGCGTAGCGCTTCTCCGCAGCCTGCTTGGCGTTCCTCTGTAATCGGTCGACAGATTTAAAAAGTCTTTGACGGATAATCATCAAAGCTTTCACATAAAATAAATACAGTTTTTCTGATTGTCTGTTATAGTCAACAAACTGTCTTTAAATGGAATACCTTAAGTTAAGTCTCTTAATATTTAGACACACGTCTTTCTACAACTTAACTAAAAGTTTTATACAAGTTTCAGAGAAACATATTTTGCTTATATCTGAGATATTCAAGACCCTTTTTTAAAATGTTTTTTTTGACCATGCAAAGTTGCATTCCGCATCCATTTTGTAATTACAAGAATAATAAGAATGATTGTGATAATAATGTTTTGGGGGCTGAGATGACCTGCCTGCAGTCCAGACCTTTGACCAACTAAAAATATTAATTTAATAAAATGCAAAATACAACACAAAAATTCAAATTTGTATATATATTTTTGCAACCAAATTAAACAAGCTACATTCCTTACATTTACATTTTTTGGTTATGGGAGTTTTCCAAATAAACACCCTCTGTGGTAAAAAAACAAAAACAAAAAAACCCCCTTTACTCTCCTTTTTTCATACCTTTATAACACATAACAAAAAAGCACATTGTGAAAAAATGACTCATATATGACACTTTGCACAGTCTACTCCATTTCTAAATTATGCCCAAAAAAGAGAATTTGAAAGCATATTGACACATAAATACTCATACGTACAAAAAAACATGAATAAATGTACTCATTTACAAATAAATCGGTCTGCACATTCGCAGATGTCTCAAATCACTGCTGACATTCACCTGAGCCACCTGCTCCAACAGCAGTGGCCGTCCTTTCACTCTCTCCTTCATCTCTTTGATTTCCTGCTGGTATTCCTTCCTCCGCTGAATGTCCTGTTTCCTGTAGAGACCGACCAGTTATGGGCTTCAGTCAAATGAATGAATATTACGTTAAAAAACACATGTTTAATCCAATGGAATATTGTAACATTGTTAGCTGAAGTTATATAACTTATGTTTGTAACTTATATGTAAGATATGTGACTTTAATATGTAATATAATAGAAAATTATTTGATTTTCAAAGTTTGTAAATGAAAATGGAAAGAAAAAATTGAAACTGTGAAATGTAGCGTTGTCACAGACTTCTCATCCTCAGTTTCTGGTCCTCATTTTCATCTACATGAATTTCACTATAAAATTCCTTGCGGAATCGTCTGATGTATCTGATACATAAAGGAGATAATAGATAAGAAAAAAGCATGAACTTTGTTTCTTAAGCCCTCATAGAATTATAACAACTCCTACAGTGGCTGCTACTTAGATACATTCAAATTCCTACACTGAGTTTGGAAACAAAATCAGCAAGATATACTTTACTATTGAACCAGACTTAATCAATAATCAATTTTCTAGATCAGCTGGATCCAGATAAACAAGGGAAGCCTATAAACCCTTCAGAAGGCCAAAGCCTTGTGCTAACCATCATGTTCAGTCTTTTATAAATAACCCCTAAGTTGTCCATGTATGCATTAAATAAATAAAGAATAAAAATAACTTGCATCCCACCGTTTTAATTTCAATACTTCATTCAAATTATGAGTTAAGCATAAGCAACATTGAATGAAAACAAAAGAAATTCCACATTTCTAGTTTTTAAGGGTACCTGAACTCTTTCAGTTTGTTGACATTCGTCTGTGAAAGAGCCACGTGGGGGTCATTGGCCTGGGCGCGTTTCAAAACCACCCTCTTGAGTTTTTTCTCCTTCTGCCTCTGTTTCTCCCTCCGTTGTTGCTCCTCCTCCTCGGCCTTCTTCCTCTGTTCCAACACCTTTCTACTCAGAGGGTGGTGGGGGGGGGTATCGGTTTTTACGGGCGGAGGAACGTTAAGAGGAGTTAAGACTGTTCCAAAATGTATGTGTAACAACTGGCTACTGAAACACTACAGAGGGCTTGTTGGGGAAAGTGGGTTTTACAGAAATTCAGATAAAAATAGAGGAGATTTTGGACTCCTGATGTGGTACCTCACGGCGTCGTGGCGCTTTTTGGTGGCGTCGGTGACTTTGGCCGGCAGGACCTCCAGGCTGCCCGAGAGGGACGAGCAGAGGCTGGAGTTGGGCGTGCTGGCCGGCCCGTTGGCCACGCCCGGCCAGCGGCGGGGGGCCCGGGGGGAGCTGTGCTCGCTCTGGATCTCGGCCAGGATGCGCTCTCGGTGCGAGGGTATCTGCGCCGTCCGCAGCTCGAAGGGCTCGCACGCCGTGGTGGGCTTGGTCTCCTTGCGCTTCTCCAGGTGCTTCTGGAAGCGCCGGTAGCTGGCCTCGAAGTCGGGCACCTCCCTGTTGATGCGCGGGCTGTGCGAGAACCCCTCGTCCCCTTCGTCTTTGGTTTTCTTGTGCTCGGCCAGCCGCCGCGTGAGCATGCTGGGGGGCAGCGAGGCGCTGTGGAGCATCTCCTGGGCCCTCATCTGCATCTTGATGGAGCGGTAGAGCTGCTCCTCTTTGGCCTGCTCGGCCGAGGCGGCCGCGTACACACACTTGGGCACGGGCTTGGCCTTGAAGGGCCGGGCCTTCCCCGGGTCGGAGGGCCGGCGCGCCTGGGACAGCTGCCTCTGCTCCTTCTTGAGCCGCTCCCTCTCCAGGAAGCTGAAGGGCTTCTGGACGGTCCGGCGGTGCAGCTCCTCCGGGTCCCGCATGGCCCGCCGCCGCTCCTCGCGGCGCTCCTGCAGCTCCTCGTACAGCGGCAGGTGGACGTGCGCCGGCACGGGGCTGGCGCGGAACTGCCGCTGGCACTCGGCCAGCTGCTCGATCTGCTTCTGGAGCTCCTTGCTCTCCTGCTCCGCCTCTGCGCGCGTCTTGACGCCATGCTTCTGCTTCTCGGCCTCCCGCAACATCATGTTGAACGGCTTGGGGACGGTCACTCGGGTCTTCCACTGCTCCAGCTCTGCGTGCCTCTGCTTGGCTTTCCTCCTCTGAGGGTTCGTCTGGTCCACCTGCAGGCTGCGCAGCGAGGAGGACATGTGATGGCTGTAGGGGGTCACCTTAAAGTCCTTCCACATGTTCTTGATGTGCTCTTTGGGAGAGAGGAGCAGGCCTTTCTCCACATCGTTGGCGGCTGCTTCATCCTCACCCTCATCCAAAGGGTCAGAGGTCCACCTGAGCTCTACGGCCGAGTGCGACTTCCTCAAACCAGGACATGAATGTGTTTGGTTGCAATTTGCCCATAGTAGCCTGAAACCCAACAAAAAAGGGAAAGAAAATGAGTTAAAAGTCATTTAAATGGCACAATATTTGAACCCTGAAATGCTTCATATCGTATTTAGGTCCAACTCTTTAGGGTTAGGGAGCGGGATCTTGTCTCTACTTCAAGACATAATTGAATTTCTTTTTCTTGTTGCATCAAACAAGTCTACCCGAACAGTCTTTGGCAAAGTGGGTGCACGGGTTTAAAGATTTAGTACAATTAAAAGAGGATTATTTAAGGAAGCGTGAGTGAGCGCAACCTGGGCTGACTGACACACTTCATGAGGTCTAGGTCAACTTGGAAAAAATTTTTAACCCGAGTTAATAGCAAAGCAATAGCAAAGTGGACTTTGTGTCTCTGCCATACAAATGTATCAACATGTATGAGACCACCACATGCTGGTGGGGATAAAAGAAAAATGGTCCTGTTTTAATTCAAAGAGCTAATGTATAACTTGTCTTATCATTATGCCCGAAAGAATAAACTGATACTTCCTCACATCACCTATTTTCTCCTTCCTTGAGTGGTGATTTGTGTAAAAAGATCACTGATTTTCAAAGCCAGCAACAACACAAAGACATTTCCCTTTTATTTTGCTTAGAGTTGATAAGAATTTGATTATACTAATAAACTGACATGCCCAAGAGTCATTTTGAGGAATTTCTCAAATGTCTCCTCAGAGCAAAAAGATGGTTGTTGCTTAATTGTTTACCAGCCAATAAATCACACAACCCAAACATTTAGGTAACTTGTGCACAATTATCAATGCAGACACATTTTTTTTATCACTCTAAAATTATTATAAAAAATATGAATGCAGTGACTTAGGGAGGAAGAGATCAGTGGTCAATTCCATGAATTTTGGGTAGACTATTTCATGGACTACTTGTCATTTAAAATATACCTCTCATTTAGAATACAATTATGCTGAAAATTTAGTTTTTATTTTTATCACCTCTTATTTAAGTCATCAATAGATCTTACAGAAGACATCTAATGTCAAAACTCTTCCACACAAAACTTTCCACCTCCATTCTGCGGGGTTGGCAGTATACGTTTTAGGGATTGAAATCGTGAAATTAAGGCTAGAAAAATGTAATTTATAGAATTACTGTCAACAGCACATATTTAAAAATAAGTAAAGATAACCATTTGAGATTTCATGCCATAACAAAACAAATAAAATACATAAAAAATCGAATAGGACTAAAAAAAATAAAAATCTGAATAATTTTTAAAAAGAGAAAGAAAAAATAAAGGTAACCACCTGTCCCCAAGATCCAACACTGTCACCTCTGAAGACTTGAGCTGCAGCTTCTGCTTGTACAAGCTCTCCAGCTCAGCCATGGTGCGCAGGTGAGCCCTCTTCAGCTCCTCCAGTTTACTGTAGTACTCCTTGTTGGAGAAGAATATTTCCCTCAGCCTGAAATGGTCCCCCGACAATTTGCAGTTGCTCCCTATGATAGGGCTGCCGTCCTCCAGAAAGTCCTCCTCATAGAAATCCGAACCGGTGTCCTCATACTCCAGCTGAAACGGGAAAGGTTCACACAATGGCCGCACACCTTAAAAAATCGGTTCGGAATCGATGATCAAATTGGCAGTTCGGCAACAGGGACTTGGCACTCGACCACACGCCCTCCGAAGCACTGCGTCCCCACAAAAAGCAGCACTAAGTCTCCTACAGCAGTAAGCCTATTATCCTGTAAAGGCAACAAAGGCCGTATGGCCAATAAGGCATCTTAGTCATGAAGGGCCGATATAGCCGTGCACCAAGGATCAAGTATCTAGACTCGTTACTTCTTCCATTACGGCAGGGTGTTTGTGGGGAGAGCTTTACGGAAATGGGTCAACTGCTGCGACACCCGTCTGAGATGCAGCGGGGTTAAATAAGAGTCCCAGATTATCAACTGAATGTTGCATATGGTGATCTAAAGAAGGCTAAAAGACAGGGAGGACGACTCGTTTTCCAGGCCGAATCCCTTCCCTTCAAATGTGCACAACAAGGGACGAAAGCTGCCATTAACCCTTTTGTGGTGTTAAATTTTCACTAATATCAGACAACTCCTTCTGTGGTCCCCTCTACCTCTATCTCTTGCTGTCACCACTGACTCTGATCAGTGTTTCTCCTCTATATAGCTTATTGTCATTGTGATGAGAAATGTAATATTGTGTCTACTCTGTAAGTCGCTTTGGATAAAAGTGTCTGCCAACTGCATAAACAAACATAAACACACATAAACATAGGTAATGAGATGGTGAAAAAATCATTTAAAAATCTGTCAAACCACATTTTTTATTTGTTTTCTAAAATGTGAATATAGCAAGAATATGATGGTAAGATGAAGGTAAATTAGTTTGGAGGGCAATTCTACTGACCCTTATGATTTTGCTGATAAAAATGTGTTTTTAGGACTTTTTTAAAAACATTTTTAAATTGGTTTACAGGTGTCACTACAATTAAGTTACATTTTTAGATAAAAAAATAAAAAGTTGAAAAAAATCAAATGCATCTTATTACACACACACACACACACAGAGAGAGAAGGGGAATACTAAAGAACAGTTTTTACTAAATTGACTGAATTTGTTTGCCATCACCAAGGACACTTTAAAAACATATATTAAAGCCTGTCATTGGATATTTTGTGTTATCAGTTACTCTTGTCTAATAAGTAGAACTTCCATTCACTCACCACGCTTTTGATGAAAACTTACTAAAAAATAAAGCCACTTGAACTCAAACGGAACAGGTGTGTTTGCGACGTGTCCCTGTGGTTTTACACCTACTGGCTTCCCACTTGTGGTGCCTTTACCTCCTGCTCGTAGTCCCGGTTGTCCAGATGGGCCGTCGTGTACGGCAGCACTCTGCCCCTCTCGTACGAGGCCAGCGGAGTCCTGGTGTGCGGGTCCACCGGCGTCTTGAGACACGAAGTGACCAGAACATTATTCCGGTGAGCCTTCGCCATCTGTTTTTTTTGCGTTTCCCCCTATCTCTAAAACTGCGCTATTTTGTGCAAAATTAGTGTCAGATAAATTATGTAGATCGCGTGCGCGAGGGCCTGCCCCCAATAAAGCCAGGTACCAAGCGGTAATCCCAACGCTCAGACCCCGTCACGTGACCTCGGTTCACAAATCCATGCGCGCCGGGCAAGTTGCGTGGAAAGTCAGAGGAAAGTAAGCCTCAGACTTACGTTGGAAAAAAGAATGGAAAAAGAGAGAAGTGGCATGTATTCTCCCATGGTTTGTGATCTGCTTTGAGAATCTGACATTGGTCGAGCTCTCCCGACCCTTTCGCTTTATTTTGTGTTGCGTGCATAAATGGGGGATTACGGTATTCCCCAGTTCTGAGGTTTGGAAAATGATTTTCGACATTGAGAGATGTTAGAAACAGGAATGAGAAGAAAAAAATTACGAGGTACTTGGAAATTATTAATTTGATCTTTTTAAAGCCCTTTACATGTATTACTTGAGTTTAAAAGTCCATCCCTTTATCTACTGTTTATTCCTTGTAGGGTCGCAAAACCCTGATACCTGACCCAGCAGGGTACATCTTTGACAGGTTACCAGTAAAATAAATGACCGCCCAGAGAATAATGAGATAAACAATCATGCACACTCAATCCACTCGGGTTAGTGTAATTAACTAATCTAATCCAACATGCATATTGTTAGATGATGGGAGGAAGCCCTGAAATATAAAGAACCAACGCATACAGAAGCAGAAAAACACCACACAAGAAAGTACCCTTGGAATTCAAACCAGAAACCCTCTAGCTGTGAGGTTAGGTTCCAGGACTGCACCGTTCACCACTTAATTTCATCCAATCATTGATTAAAATGTTTCTCAGACACATATTTACTATGCTGTTTGTGCTCTGATAAAACTATTTTCACATTCGGTTGATCAGATTATGTCAGCAGCTGTTTGGATAAAAGAGTGACCTTTGTTTGATTTATAACATTCTGAAAACCACCCAATGAAGTTAAGATGTTTTCTGAGAGAAAAAATATGTATCTGAAACTAATATTTATTACCACTTCTAATTTCTCTGTTTAGAAAATATCTTGAGATTGAAACAGATTGTCAGGGCGTGGGAGAATGAGTTGGATTTCCTATCTTTGTTTTCCTTCTTTTCAGGAGAGTTCCTGCTTCTGTGTGAGCATGGGGACTGGTGTGGTAATCCCGATTAACTGATTCAACAGACTGATAAGCTCTGGCCTCATCTCCTCCAATCAATTTTCCACAGTTCATTCCTGAGTAGTGTAAATCTTTTTGAGTTTTGAGTTTTGAGGTTTGAGCTCTGGCATGGTTGGAAAATCCAACAACCAGAAATAGAGACAGACAGAGCTCAGGGCAGGTGCTTTTCAGCATCCTTTTTGTCACCCATAAGATTAACCACACCCATTCAACACCAAATGAGACGTAGTTGTTTGCAGGCTGGTGATTGCTTTTACAAATGAACCTGCCCATAGAACAATCAAGTGTAAAATTCGAACAACGTGGCTTGTCAGTAAAATTGGGAGAACTGGTGGGCAGTCTGTCTCTGAGAACAACCCAGCTTTGCTTTTTTTCTCCTCTTCTACCATTATTCGCCTTCGTATATTCTAGCATTGAAACTGATCTCACATTTTATCATTTACTCCCAAAGTCTGGTCCTCTTTTAGTCAAGTTTGCGCTTTCCCAAGTGGCCAGAGCTTTTGACAACAAACCTCTCTTAGGAGTTCTTAATGTCACTTTAACTCTTTGGATAATTTCTGCTAATGATCTCGAAAAGCTACGGTTATTTTGTATGCTTTTGTCTGCCGTAGAATTGGTTTCTCACAGTTTAAACATCCCGGTAGATAAACTGTAGTGTTGGTTGTATAGTTTAACACCTTGTTCAACTTTTTCTACTATTATGTTCTTTGTTAAGCCTTACCTCTAAATATTATGCCACTAATATTTCAACCCTGTCTTTCTGTCCTCCTGCCTGAATGAGCATGTGCAGTATGTGGACTTTCAAAGAAACTGCTTTAATGATACAGAGTGGGACATGGAAAATTAACACCAATACAAACAATAAAACAAGACATTACTGACCAAGTACAGAAATTTGACCATACCTGCTCTTTCCAGAATCCCTCCTTTACCACCTAAGTGACAGATGGCAACAACACTTTATACCGCTGTCCCTCCACCACAACCTGGGCAGCACCTACTGTCTAACAACAAAAGAGGAGGCAGCTTAGTTTAGGATACCTCTGCCAGGAGAGGCTTTGGGCCTACACAAATATTTCCACCTGAAGTATTGTTCACATGCATTCATATTACTGTAAATAATGTCTTTCTTATTTCAGTGCTTCAGTGATTACAGGTCAGCAGTATTGATGTCACTCATAATTAATACTTATCAGTGACTTCATCCATAATATGAGAATCCAGGTTTTTAAAATGTTTGACCCTTTCCAGTTTGCTTACTGGGAACGTATGAATAGAATAAACAATTTTGTATTAGCTTTTTCCTTGTTTTATGTGAGAATCAGTTATTAGACTACTATGTATGACCAATGCCCTCTTGGGGCTATCTTGACTTCCTGGGTTATAGAATGTTTGACTGACACCAGGATGAGAATACACATTTCTCCCTTGTAAATTACCTTTACCTTTATAAATGACATTTATTTATTGCATTGTAAATATCTATCTATCTATCTATCTATCTATCTATCTATCTATCTATCTAT